CAAGTCGAAAGACAAGGAAAAAGGAAGAATCACTGAAAATGTGTAGGTTCTAATCTTACAAGCCGTCAAGTAGCGCGCATCGTGTGCAATATGCATATCGAGTTGCTGAAGACTTGACACAGTCTCTTTTTTCATAATTATCTCGCGACCTCATCCAAAATTCTTCGTAGTATTTCGGAAGATTACGGAAAATTGACACCGGTTCAGAACAGAACGGGGTTGTCTCTTCTCGTCTCCAAATTCGAATAGCCTCGCAAAGTCCATTCTAATTGTTGTGCGAGAAAAAAATAAGACAAACGACCTGTGAGCGCACTTCTTAAATGAATTTCGACGATCGGAGTGCTAGCCAGTTTCTTTGGTATGGATGGGGCTGATTTTTTTGATCGGCTACATATCCGACGTGGGTGAGCGAAGCGGCAGAAAACGAAGACGTGAAGTTGTTGCAAAAAGGACGCAGAAGCCGCGATCTAGCCGCGACTCGAGGAGAGAGCGCGCCGGCCGAGTGGATGAGAGTGGGGTGCGCATAAATGTATGTACGTTGTCTCTGTCTGAGTTCCATAAATAGAGGCATGAAACCAGCTAAGGAACAGTCGCTTATTGTGTCGACGCATCCGGATGGTCTGAGCATGGAAAGCGAAGAAACGAGGCGCTGAGAGAGAGAGGAGAGTAGCCCGATCAGCGAGCTGAGACCTTGGAACCACCGTATGAACGAGATTTCCCTCACTCGTACATGTGTAGTAGACAAACCTGAGTTTCAACACCTATGCATTACTCCAGGAATGAGTGTCCACAGGCCGTGTGGTTTGGATCAAGTTTGCAACCTACAATTTGTGAATAACAATTTTACTTACTTCTGTTGATAGCAGCCTTGAGATGTGACCAGTGTTCGAATGCACAGTTTTGCATAGTTTTGAATATATGGGGAACAGCACCTACACCCATAGGTGCGATAGGGGGAGCCGGGCCCTCTCCAGGTGAAGGGGGTCTCTGCTACTCCCATCCTTGTAAGGTGAAGGGGGTAAGTGAGCCCTGAGAGCAAAATGCCCCAACAAGTTACATACCATTCGAAAACTGAGGTCATATAGAATCGACGTAGACCGTCGGCTTTTTCCTAGGTCTTTTGTTCCGCGAGATTTGAGGGATTTTATGTACTTCATGTGTCAACTAATTTTGTGTCCTCACTTTCTGCTCTCCAAAAGAATGCTACGAGAAAGTCGACGGTCTACATCTGCTAATGAAGACTTGCTCTGTAACGCAGATAGATAACCAGCAGATTAGGTCTTCGTTTGGCAGAATTTGCTGTTGAAAATGAACATGATTTCAGGTAAAATGCAGTGTATCTCTCGATAGAGGGCGGCTAGAAAAAATTCGACGGTCTACGTCGAATCCCCCTTTCCTGGGCTTTCGAATGGTATATAGATTGCTGAGCGAAAAAACTTGCCAGTTTTTAAAAATGGTGTGGAGGTATTTACTATTGGCTTGCTCCACCCAGCTCCCCCAATGTATTGGCTTTTATCGGTCACCAGAGCAAGCGCTTTTTAGAGCCGTGAAGCAGAAAAGCCCTAACATGTTTCACACCGTTCGAAAGCTGAGATTATGGAGAATCGACATAGACCGTCTCTTTTTTCATAGCTTCTCTGTAGAGCGAGATACGAGCGATTTTATACGCCTACTCACCAGCTAATTTTGTGTAATTATTTTGTAATTTAGTTTTGAAAGAAAGAACAAGGATTAAAAAAAAGAGACGGTCTACGTTTACTGGCAAGGTCTTGCTCTGTGATACAGTTAGAAAATCAGGCACCTTTATCCATTCTTCACGCAGAAATTTCTCGACAAAAACACACATCTTTTTGGCTAAAATCCCGTGTAACTCTAAGTAGAGGGGAGCTAGAGAAAAAGAGACGGTCTACGTCGAATCCTTTTTTTGTGGGCTTTCTAATGGTGTACAGGTTGTCGGGTGAAAAAACTTGTGGTTTCTTAAAAATGAGGTGGAGATATTCAATAGTAACTTGCTCCACCCCGCTCCGGCTTTCTATGGGTTGCCGGAGCAAGACTTTTTTGGACTGGGAAAGCTTTGTGCACCAGCACCTTATATACCATTCGATAGATAAGAACGCGAGGAATCGACGTAGACCGTCTCTTTTTTCGTAGCTTCTCTGTGAAGCGAGATACGAGCAGTTTTATCTAGCTACAATATCAGCCAATTTTGGGTAATTATATTTTCCAACCAAGAAGGTCTTTTTCGAACTTTTATATATGAATCGAAAGCATGAAAAACGAGTAATCTGACTGTTGTTTTGTTTGTTATTATTCTCTTTAGTGAAAAGAGATATGGTATGATTTTTTGTCAGCAAACATGCATCCATCGCTAGTCGGTTCAGATTTTTTTACTCTTGCTCAACTCTTTTTTGCAAAGCATGTATTCATTGACACAATGTTAATTGTTCAAAAAATCACCTTTTACTTTTTGATTGCGCTTCGTTATCAACGCCCTTTGAGCGCGGAGAAGGTCTCAAGAATGTTTTTTTAACAAAATGTTGTTGATTCGATACTCTCTTGCAGTCTTGATGTCTGAGGAGAAGAGCAGGTGGCGTTTCTGTCCAAACGAAAGTTCCTTTGTAATAGCTGTTTGCCTTGATTAGTCTCAACCTCAGGTGAAAGGGGTCAGCCAGATGCCGGCCCTAAAGTGAAGGGGGTCAGAGAAATTTCTCCACCTATCGCATCTATGCCTACACCACTTCAATTCTACTCTTCGTAATTTAATAAATCATCTCTGTGCAGAATAATTTGGACATGCAAGAATCAAAGTAACTGAACTTCTACCCTGAACAAGAATAGGGATGCAAAGGGGAAGCGATGTTCCAAATTCCAGCAAATAAATTGGTGAATTATTGTCACAAGCGAGTGGCAGTGATTTATGTATTAAACAAAAAGGAAAATATTTCTTCTCGTACAACGAAATAACTCGCTATACAGTAACCATAGCAACAATTGAAAATACAGGGTGTCCCAAAAGTAAGTACACACTTTTCAATCGTCAATATCTTTCTTCACATTGTCTCTTTTTCCGCCATTCAAGCACCATTCTGTAGAGGAGGCTTTAACTTAGATCTACAGTATCGAGCGAATCATCGATCGCTCTTCGTTACTGTAGGATTACGGTGGGAACTTCGACAGGGATTTTTAGGCCATTGGAGGCCATGTCTGCCTCGAAACAAAACCAAACAAGCCGTAAACTCTTATACTATGGTAATCGAAGCCGCCGATTTCGATTATGAAACTTCTAGTTTACTGGATGCTTCTTTCCCAAGTTATCCCAGGTAAACCGTAATAACCGAATCCTCCATTGTCAGAAATGTGCTTACACCGTCAAAAAAGCTGAAAACACTCGTAAAAAGTTGTGTTTTGGAATCAGCGTGTGCGAAAACTCCAATAGACGATTTTTTAGACGTTTTGAAAAAAATTTTGTCAGGTGGCATATTTCACAGTGGTTTCACATGCTGGAAGTTCTTACCGTAATCCTACAGTAACGAAGAGCGATCGGTGATTCGTTCAACACTGTAAATCTAAGATGAAGCCTTCTCTACAGAATGGCACTTGAATCACAAAAAAAGACCTATAGGGACGAGAGATATTCACGATTGAAAAGCGTGTACTTACTTTTGGGACACTCTGTATTTTCTACGAAACATCAATGCATTCTCATCCGCACTAGATCATTCTGAGTGAATTTTATAACAGCTCATAATTCATTCTACATTCTTAGAATATACATTATCAAAATGTCAGATTAGAGACCTAAAAATCGAAAAAAAAAACGGATTGGGACACTTTTTTTTACGTCGTCACTTATTTATAGTGACAAAACCCTCAGAGTGTTATCTTTTTATGAGTTTTTAAGAAATAACGAGTACATTAATGGGCTGCTGAAAGTTTAGAGATTTAGAATATACCTCAATATTTCAAAAATATTTTTTACGCTACGCAATTATTGCGGTGAAATCTCGCAGTGCTTTGAATTTCTTATACAATTTCATGGATTCACAAATACACTTTTGGGTCTATGGCAAGCTTCCGCCTTGTTTTTTTATATGGCAATTACTGGACATTCATTTGCTTTGCATCGAAAGTTTTCAGAGTTTTTAGTAACTTTCCCCACCTAATTACATTTTCAAAAAAGTAACGCGTGTTTGAAGTCGTTTATGAGAACAAGGAAAAGTTTTATTAGTGCTCTGATTTAGCGTCATCGCTACCGAAGCTTTCAAAAATACCTCTTCAACAAAAATATTGGAATTTTAGATGTTGCCTGCCATAGCCGGTTTCTCAAAAACTTTACGAACACGCTTATGCGTGGGAAAATTCCTCAGATGCCTTAAGCATTAACGTTTCTAAGGTAAGTGCATTGCAGCTAAAACCTAATTGGACAAATTTTCTCCACTGGATGGATCGTAAGGCTAAGAGAATTGGGAACAAAGCGATGAATGGGGAACTTTTCTTGACTCAAAAAAGCAACTCAGCATATACCTTACAATTAGTCACCTGAAATTATACATGCGTTATTCTTGTTAACGTATGAAGTAATTGTTTTCAAGAAAGGACATGTATCAGTGATAATTCTGGTTACTATAGTTACGTTTCGCCAGTGGAAACCTGCCTTCAATTGCAATTTATGTATTCACGGTGATAAGTTGATTCTCACATTAACGACTTTTAGAGTATTGTTTTCTCCCTTAAAGATGAGTTGATGTTTCCAAATTGCAGATGCGCTTGGTCAAGTGGAGGAGACGTTAAATCTGTAAGAGCTACAGAATTTCTGCTTTATTACGATCAGAATGTCAGGTTAGTGCCAGGAAGATTTTATTGTCATAAAGGATTGCCATCAGATAGAAATCATTTGTCGAGAAGAAGTGCTGTCATGAAAGATGCTCCAATAAAAATGCTTATTTTATTAATTTATCGAGAACTTATGGTATGTGTGTTTTATGATACTTTCCCTTACAGAAAAAGATGGAAATAATCCGATGGCCGAAGGAAATCTCAGAAAAAGGTTTGTTGGTTTATGATTGTTTTGAATATTCCCACAGAAATCATGTCTGCTGAAGTTCTTATAGTTAAAAGAACAAAACTTGTGTTGTTCTCATTTGAATTTTCATTTTATCGCCTGATTTTGTAGCCGTTCTGCTTCAACCTTTTTCAGAAGCTTTAATTTATATGTCAAAAATATCATACAGAAATAGAACTCAATCATTTTCAATATTTTAGTGGTAATGCGATGCACTAAAGTGCAGGTTTCTAATTCATGAATAATGGATCACATATAACAAAAACGATTTAAGTAATGAAGCCAAAATTTATCGGTTCTTGGCAGGTTATGGGCAGATACATGTAGAATTTGCTGTTTCACTGACTAATTTGGCCAAAAAATGCCAGATCAGTACTTCTTTTTCAAATGTTGTTGACCGCTACAATACAAAAAGAAAGCTAATATCCTCTGCTCGTGCTAACTAGTTGCAAAGGTGTGCAATTTTAGCATCGATTTCATTTTTATAGAGACATTCATCCGCTCTATAACAACTTCCGTACTATTCGTTTTTGTGCTGGAACGCCTTTTTTGTGAGGCAAAGTTTTATAAAATCTTTGGTGTATCCATTTGGTATTGGTTATATGCGGATAAAAAAGAAAACTATGAATTCTTTTAACTGCCGCATATAGAAAACATAGGTTGTGCCTTTAACATATCTATAGTTTCCGCCGAAGTTGGACGATTCCGTCATTGTTCGTTTCTACTTCTTCACTTCCAAATGGCTCAATAGCATTTGTTGCAAGAGTTATTAATTTGTAGTAGAAGTATTAGGTCGTTCCGAAAGTAAGGTCGCTTTTTTCAAACGTACGCCACATCTCGTGGAACAAAGATGTGTAAGAGATACTGGTAGCATTCGATGCACCATTTCATTCTCTTTTTAATGGTTGTATAACTACCGCACAAAATTAAACAACCTCCTGGAAAATTATCGGAATCTGCGACCCATGCATTTTGAGAAGGTCAAGTTTCACAATTTTTCCAAATTTTTATAACAATTCTCGGAAGGAGTCCAAGTAATGAATGGATAGAACAAACCCTACGGGAAACAGGACAACTTTTTTCTACTTTTCAGAGCTCGTCATAATTTCTGTATAAGTTTTTTGTTGGAACCACCGAATTTTAGCAGGCTCGTCTCAGACACAAATGCATCAAACACCAAGAAATCGTCGGATTTCGAAACTTAAAAAAGCGGATTATGGCTTTACACTAATTTTACAAAGCAAATGAGCGTTTACCGCTTCAGATTAGCAACCTTCGAAAGTTCCGGGTACAGCCGGAGGCGCCCTGGGAAACCTGAATCATGATGATTTTATCCCGGAAATCTTGATGAATCAGAAAGAAAAAACAGTTGGTAGAAAGAGAATAAAAAGCTGCGTCGAATGGCAGCTTGCCCGAGTTGCTTGCCGGTTGTTGTTCTGTGAGGTTTGAGTTGACTAAATATCGAATTTGATGGCATCTTAAAACTGATTCCAGAGACTCTAAGAAGCAAGCTAAGGAAAAGAAAAAATTACTCTGTGTCCTATAAGGCTTGCTCTATCTACCTGCCGCTTGCACTTCTTCGGAGAATAGGTACAAAAATTTTAAAAAATTGCAGAACTTGACCATGGCAAAAAGCATGAGTTGCAGATTTTGTTAATTTTTCGAAAGCTCAATGTAAATTATGCAATGAGATTACAACCGTTGGAAAGAGGATGAAATGCTGCATCGAATGCTCCTAAGATCTCTTGAAAATCTTGATTCCATGAAATGTGGCGTTCATTTGAAAAAAGCGGCATTACTTTCGGAACGACCTAATATAAACAATCGAGTCATTTCTAACTCATTATGGAGTTTGCTCGTTTCTATCACTCATGACTCCGTAGTTGCAAATAATTGGTAAGATCGAAACCGAACAGAAACGAATACCTACATGTTACTGTACCTAAATATATGCAAGGAGAGAGAAAAAAACAAAAAACAACTTTTGAAATGGACTTGCAACCGTATACGACGTGAGTTAGCGCGCATGGCGTGCACTACACACATTAGTTTGCAACTGACTCGACCGTAGTGACCACCTACATTCCAGTGAATTTTCTGCTTAGTATAGTGTGCTTGCGCTGCCGAGACTTTGCGGTGAGATTTGCGTGTGAAAGCTGCCCTTGAAATGCCGGCAGCCTGCGCGCGCAAGTAGCCCGCATTACAGGCTACTTGCCCTCGTTGCTATTTCTTAATGCGCAAATTTTACCGCAAATCTCGGCCCGCAAGCACATTATTTTATAAGGAGAATCTACTATAGGTCATTTATAAAATCGTGACGACGGATTTGACTGCGGTCTTTGCGCCCACAATAGCAGAAAACACTTATACAAAAAGGCATCACCTCAACTCTCAGCTCAGTCACTTCCAGTGTCTAAATGTTATCATAAGTAAGCAGAAAAACCATTTGAGTAGAGATGAAAACCAAGAAAATGGCGGTTGTCGGGTATGCGTGCGTGTTGCGTGCGGTCGCGCCATCGTCACGATTTTTCGAATCCACTATACAGATGAGATCCATCCACTGTATAGATGAGATAAGTCGAATCATTTGTCAAATTGGAGGAGTTCCAAATTAACTGAATAGCACCGAGTTTTCTTGAGGAATGTCGCACTGTTTACAGATCTTTTTGAACCCTCCCCCCCCCCCCCCGCTAGTCTCTTCTAGTTGTTTGGCGAACGCAACTAATTCGTAACTCGCTGCGACCTACTGCAAAAATTACCGGTCCGGTAGCGAAAGTAGAATTGACGAGCAGATTCTGTCTCGCTGCTGCGGTTATCCAGTTCAACTTTCCGTTAGCATAGAGAAAGGAACTTGAATGTTCTATTAGCTGGCTTTCAGCTGTGGTAGGTTGGCGATCGCTAGATTCGTACGGGTCAATTATGTCTTCTCCTGACTCATAGATCGCTGTTGTTGGGCGGGATTATCTGTGGAACCGCTGGGATTTGATTTTTATTGCAGTTTCAGTTTATAAAGTCATAGAGGTACTGTCCATGTACGAATTTTCATTCTAAGCCATGACTTTCTCACCAAGCGATGTTCTTTACCACTTCCTCTCATCTTTTCCGACTCGTCCTTGGCGTTCCTTGTTCGCTTTCGCTCACCGCTGCACCATTTCCGCGCCAGTTGCCAGTTCATCCACATTCATGAGACACCCAGAGAATCTAACCGAAACTAACCCATAGTTATTGCCAATTAGATTTTTCGATAGCGTAGTGTTCTCCACAGGATCCAGCTCGATTTAGAGGTGGCTGTGAGATGTGATTGCGTGTTGTAACCATAACATATGGCATCTCTTATAATACGTATATCAGCAGCAGAAGAAGAACTGGTTAATTGAAACCAGTTACCTAACCCATGTGACGAGACGCTCCTTTCTTTTGGCTATGATGCTTACGTGTTTGGTACTGGATCCGGACAAAAGAGTATTCGAGTTTAGAATCATTCATAACCGCATATGTCTTGAAATATTCTCATAACAATAGTTTGTCGAAAGTTCTGTCGCTTCATATTTAAAGTGCAAGTTTTCGTTATCTGGACGGATTCACTTCTTTAGAACTTTGTTTGAAAGAAGAAGTCCTCCTCTTTGTAAATCTATCTTGATAAGATTCTATTGTATACTCATTGCAGGGATAAAAATAAAAAAGGAAGACCATTTAGAATTGGTCATTTCAACTTGGGTGGCCAAAAATCTGGCACAAAAAAAACTAAAATGCAAAAAAAAACTAAAATTGTCATCACTAGATAAGTTTTATGACCTATCTTTGCAATTGAGAAGAAATTTTGATGTGTGGACGTTTTTGCGAAAAGCTATAAATTTCGAGGTTACAACAGAAAACGCCAAAATTGGTTGATTCGTCGTTTTCTCGAGAAATCATAACCTTTTACAGAGACGTCCGAACAGTAAATTTTTCTTAGTTGCAAAGAATAGCTCATAAATCTTGTGTATTGACGATTTCAAATATTTTCGCAACGTTCGACTTTTGATGACCTAACTCAAAATTATCAAAGCCTAAATGCTCTTCTTTTCCCAGTTTTTACTCTGCAATGAGTGCATAGTAGATGCTCATTAAGATAGATTTACAAAGAGGAAGTCTTCTTTTTTCCTAGTAAAACATAAAAGACAAATTCACCCAAATAACCAAAAGTTACAAGTTTTTAGATATGGAACGACAGAACTTTCGGGGCAAGTTAGTACTGATATAATGTAATACTGGAAATGTTGTGGAAATGTACGTTACAGAATCAGCAAAAGTAGTGATGGATATAATATCCTAATATATTTTGGTGTATGTCAATGTTGTCTGACTTGCAAACCCGTGGCTTGAAACCGAACATTTTCATACTGTTTCAAAGTAACTACTGTCTGTTTCTTTCCTTCTATTATATTCTTTGCTGGTGATATTCATAGTTTTTTAGTAGGCGCAAATTGTGTGCAGTAAATGAATAAATGAGTAAATAAATAAATATTCTCACTAGTAGAAAAGGCTCTGATAGTCTAGTGAGTGGCGATATAATGTTGTGAGAATTTGAATAAATTATGCACTAACTTTTTTTTTCTAGAAATGTGTTTGAACAAAGTCAACTTGATTAACCCGCTAATGGCTCTCTATTCTAAAACCTGTTTTCAATTTTGTCAACGAACTTGACCTTCATAAGTGATTCACAGTCCATCGTACTTCCATAGTTATTCAATGTCTATCACACATTATCATTTTTCTATATTCATGTCTTCTTTTTAGGACAATTTGTCCTCTTTTACATTTCCTTTATTTCGTCCCCACAACTTATAGTATATCCAGTTCCTGCGGCTGGCCTTGAGGCAACAATTCCTAATGAACTCTTGAATGTTTTTGGCGCCTCATTTAAATTCGCTTCCTATCTGTTTACTCTCTCGATAAACTTCCCTGTTTCATTTTGGCGCACGTATAAATGCCCCAAATATGTCAGTTGTCTCTCACTTTCGAATCTTGTGTCTCTTCTCAATTTTTCACAGCGCACCATCGATGATGAGTTTTTGTTCCTTAGTGGTGGTCGTCAAACAAAGGTACAATGAGGTACTTGGTCGTTCATTAGAATTCCAAGTGATGAATCTTTTATGAGATTTATGAAGAATCATTGGAGAATACATTCTTCAGAGATTTCACATTATTCTAATTGCTCCTCCATAATCTGTTGGAAATAAAGTAATACTTTGTTGAAGCCGAGTTGTAGGCATCTTAGCCTAACGTTAGATAGTTAATATTTTATTTTGCCATAAACAAAATATATACTCTCGGTATTCAAATGAGAATTGAATTATTACGTTTGTACTATTTCATGACATTCGCTTCTATAGCAGTTCTAAAGCAAAATTCAATAAAAAATTTTGAACCTTTCATTCTTGTGCATATAATATTTGCAGCTACACTTGCCATAATATTTGATGGCAAGTAATTGAGAAAAAATGATGGGCGTAAATTGGCAAACCCCGCCCCTAAGCGATCTTGGTTCTGCCCACATATGTAGCCTATATAGCTCGTACAAAGCAGTCATAGTTTTACCTTCTAGTCCCCTAAACTTTGCCAAATAACAGTTAATGGAATCAAGGAAAAAACCAGCAGGACAACTTAAGTTAGCTCTTAACTCATATTATGAGAAAGTTCTTCGAATGTTTTATGCGGAAGTCATTCGTCAATACAAATTGCGCTGCATTAGCGCCATCTAACTGAAACTCTTTCACCTGGCGTGTTGCTTGCTAATTAGCGCTGGCGAAACGATTTTCGAGTAGGTTCCGGAAAAGAAAATGTCGTGATGAAAGTTGCGTCATAGAAAGTAGAATTTTTAATTAGGAAAGCGCTAGAATAATTGAAAATTCGACCATTTCAGCAAAGTTTCGTCACTGGCTTTTGCATATGTCATTTTCTTTGCACTAAGCAACAGCTCTATTTTCTGAATTTATCTAGGCTCTTCTTCATTATCTTTTTTTTCTCTTCGAATGAAATCATTTTTTGTCCTTTCCAAACAAGGTCTTTTTCAGACACATGTCGATCATAATTGTTGCCATGATAGGTCTAGTAATTTGTTGACAAGATGTTCCAGCCTCTTTCTCACATATCGAATTTCTCCCAAACAAAATCAGGCTCCTTTCTAATTTATAAGTAAAATTTTAAGTTTTGCTTTACATTTGATTGGGTATTTTGACGCATTTTTGCGTTTTCCGATTTTTTGACGCAACAAAAAATCTTTAGTTGAGCTGTAAGTATTGTACCAGCAAATATAGAGATTAGCTCCCAAAGTGTTCAAATAAAGGTTCAAATATTAAACATGCTCTATCTTACCATGCTTATGAGAAATTTCATTGAACGAAATTAAAGGTTGAAAAAAAACTCCGAAAATCGCAACTGTTCACATCCAATCCGCACCAGTTCTCTCACTATGAAAAAGAATAGCGTAGAACTTGAGTCAACACTAAAGTCAAATTTCACTGGTATTAGATTAAATTGAGTTTCCAATCGAAACTTGACAAAAACACGTCTTGAGTGCTTCTCTCTACCGGCTTGTATGTTCGCTATATGCCAGTGAGCAATCTTATGAAAGGAACGAATCTGGCAAACTTCCAGGAACCTAAAACTTTGCTAATCGAGGCAGTTGGTATTTAAGTTTCACAGCCTGTTTTATCTATTTGAAAAAAATTTTGTGCTGATTGAGCGTTTCTATCAAAATTCATTTTTGTAAAAAAGAGTTAAAAAATCAGTTTTTTTTGCATTGCTTGCTCGATCATAATTTTTATAAAAAGCTCGATCAACACAGTTCTTGCTCTGATGAAATGTGCATATCATAAAATCTATAATACAAAGTGTTTCGATCTTAATTGCAACTTTCAGAGTTTTTGGCAGTTCTCCAGAAAATTTTAAATCCGAATAATTTGCTTCCACAGCTTCTATCTCCGTTATTTGCATGTCAGCAAGCCTTTGAAATGCTATTGTAAAGCACATAATTTCTCTTCTAGAAGAAGCTAGAATTGTGCAAATCCATTGAGAAAGTAAGAAGTTGTGAATTTTTGAAAATAGTGCAAATATTAGATTGGCACATAACTTTGCAGTTAATTTCGTTACTTCTCTCTTTTTGACTGTGACGATTTCGTATTTGGGCATGATGTAGATTGGGTAGTAGGCTACAAATGTGCTCGAGCAGTTCAGTTTTGATGGAGAATTGGAAATAATTCACGCTTTTTCAAAAGCTGGTCAAATTCGAAATTTTGAGGGTCGGAAAACCATAGATAAAGCCGTTTTCATTCTGAACGCGCATCAAGCCGCAACTATATAAATCATTAGAGATTCCTCTACCAACAGTTTGGGTACAATTTTGGCTTGATGTGTTTGATTTAGACTAAGAACGGCTGTATTTTTTTTCCGACCCTTGAAATTTCAAATTTGACCAACTTCCGATAAATGCGAGAATTTTCTCTACTTTGCTACCAAAAATCAAAAATTGTAGCCTACCACGTAATCCACGTTATGCTCAAAAATGAATGCGTCACATTTACATGTAGAAAAAGAAAAGTTACAAAATTAGTTGCAAAACTTACGAAGTCGCAACAAATACGTCGCGGTAGGTCAAACAAAGTATTTTCGAAAATTAAACCTAAATTCTAAACCGCCAGATTCGTAGCAGTGTAGTGATTTTTCAGTTTCTTCAAAAATCAGCTACAAAAGAAGTTATAGCAATCCGACGGTTTTTTTACAATAAAACACAGCGACGGAAAAATTTATCGAAATTCTGTTTTTTTCCGAGAGTTGGGAGCTCAAGTGCTAACTTATTGAATGTTCGGGCCAACCTAATAGGTTTTTTGGTGAATCGATTTTTCATTAAAACGGCCCTTCCGCATTTCCCCACTTTTTTCAGTGAGATTTTCTCGCCTGCCTGGCCGTGATGGTCAGCTCCCATTACGGACGAGGGCCCGATTCGTTGTCCGTTTGTTTTCCTCACCGGTCACTCTCCCATTCCTGACTCATGTGTGTTTGTCCTGGCCACGTTCTCGTTTGTGCACCTCTCTCTATTAAGGCATTTCCAGTTGCGCTGCGTTCGTTCGGCATCGAAACCGAGTGCATCGATTGCTATAAGGTTTATAACTAATCCTGTTCTAATATAGTATATCTACACTAAATCAATTCCACGTTCGCTTTATTCTCCTTTAATCTCGTCCCGTCGTCGCGCCCTCATTCAAGGCTCATTCTGTTTGGCCGCTCTACTAACTTCAGCAAGGGCGACACCCGATTCCACACCCCGGACTATTTACCTTACGCACTCGCATGCATTGTCCGGGGGAGAGTAACATTTGTTAATCCCGATGAGGCCCAGTGAAAAGGGCTCGTTCAGATTTTAAGCCCCTACAAAAACAGAAGTGAAACATAAGTGAAACACTCTACTCTAGGCAAGGCACTCTATAAAATTCTGAATTCTCACCCACTAAAGCTCCATTTGTGGTTGTTTTCTTTTTGACTGAAATTACCTTTTCACCAAATTACCACTCGTAACTTGGTTCCATGTGTGGTACTGGAACTAAAAACATGTTTTCTACAATGATGACTGCGCAACTTCAAAAGATAGATGGTGAAACTAGATATAACTATTATGTTTCATTAGTGCTTGAAACGTCATTGCATTTCTACTTCGTTGTTTTGAGATATTTAATTTATTTTCATAAACTTATCAGCTTGGGAAGCAAATGTGATTAAAAAAAGATTTGATATTTGTGCTAAAATTTGATATGCAAAGAACTTTTAGTATATTCATAATTCACAATCATATTGAAGGAGGACAAAGACACTGCTTTTTTTTGAAAGCCTTCAGTTTCATCCCTTTCCAAGACGCATTCAAGAAAAGAAATATACGAAAAGCATTTTTTTTCATTTTCATTTTTTTCATTTTTATTAGCGAAAAGCAATTTTACGAAAAGCATTTTTTTCATTTTCATTTTTTTTTTCATTTTCATTTTTTTTTCATTTTCATTCACGAAAAGCAGTTTTTTTTGCTACGCATTTATTTAGAAAAAACTACTAACAACGACTTTTTTGTCTACAACTTACCGTAACTCAAAGCGCTTTTTTCTTTTTTTTTCTACTTATTCTTTTCTCCTTTGTTAGGCGTAATGCACAAAACTGATTAATTTTCATTTACAAATCTGTGCGTATTTCACTGTTAAAGCTTATGGTACTTTTTATGAAAACAACAGACTTAAAAAATAAAACTGAGAGCTGACGTTATCCAGACTTAAGCCTGGTGTTAGATCAAAGCTCTTATGCTGAAATCTGTTCAGATTCGTTTTGTTCATCCAGATGATGATGTGAAGAAGTGAAAAATGTTTTCTGTGATATCTAGAGACCCCTTTGCTGAAGCTTTTGACGTCATCAATGTGCAGATCGTGTTTTGTAAATACTGGATATACTCTTGTTGACATATGCGTGCTCATTGCTCTAGTACTCTTGTACAAGCTCTCAACATTTTCAATCCATCTCTTTCCTCTGAAATTTTTGTCAAAGTCTGAATTTCTCAACATTTTCAACTCTTTCCTCTGAAAACTTGTCAAAACGTTTTCATCTGTCATTGTAGTTCGTATCTTTGAATTTATTGTCTTATACCGTAGCAAAATGATTCTTCGTTTGTTACCGTATCTCAACTCTTCAGATGCTTTTATGAAGCGGCCACAAATAGTGCCTTCTGCTCCACCTCCAGAAGCATACTACTTGCCAGTTCAGCCGCCCCCGCAAAGGCCACCCCCGCGGCTTCCCGGACCCTCGAGTCCCGTACCCGTGCCTTGTTGGCAAGCACCTCCTTCTTCGTTACCTCCCCGCTATGGCAGCAATACAGAAAGTTTCGAACTAAATTACGAGGAAATAAATGATAAAACCCCAAGAAACCCCGAGAAACCTTCCCGGTTCAACGTCAAACCCGGCAAACACAAAAAGCGATTCAATCCGCAACTACACACTCAAAGGTGTTCGCTTTTGATTCCACACACACACAATAGTTCGTGTCTGTTCGTACGAGGATACTGTAACCGTTCTTTTACAGAGGTTGTACTGACGTCGCCTGTTGTTTTCTCTTCCTTCTTTTCACAATTGGATGGGGAGTGGTGGCGGCGATCGGTGAGTACTTTTAGACCGGTTGCTGCAATTTTCAAATGCTACACCGATCTCTAGAGGTTAATGGTGCCGAGATGCGTCAACTAGCAAACAATCAAATTTTGCTCAGACTCGGTTTTGCAGGGACCTTATAATGTTGTCTAACAAGTGAGAGCTTGTTGTAATCAATTAATGTTTGCATTTTGGAGTTATAGGCTCTTTTGTGTGTCTGCACACTGCGCGCCGCATTTCACGATTTTTTTGATAACTCGTGACTGAAAGTCCTTTTAGCTAACATGAGCAAACTACTAAAATAAGTATTATTATCTAATATTCATCTGATAAGCTAAAATATGAAAAGAAGACATAGGGGGTCCCATAGAAATTGGTAAGTCATACTTGTCGTGGAGTACGGCGCGTAGTGTGCAGTATGCATATTGAGCTGCAGTTGCCTCGACTATAATCTAGAATTGCGGCGCTTTTTTGCTACAAGCGCTTTGTTCGTTTTTTCATAAAGGCTACGTTTACGCTATGAGTGCGTATTTCTTGCTATGCAAGAATTTTTTGCTTGTGCAGCCACTTGAGTTCTCACAACTAGGTTTGTCCCACTTTTAGTACTTTGCCCAGAAAGTTTTGGACAATAATGAGCATTAAAACACCAAAGCCCACCTGAATCATGCTGTTGCCTAATGGCTCAGTTTTGCTTCTTGTCATCGGGTGCTAATGTTTCGCTCATTTTCCCATACTTTTGCACTCCAGTTCATTTTCTTGGGAAAGCAGTAGGCGAAAATGTAAATAGCTGAAGCTTTTAAGCGACTTACTAAACACCTGATAAGCTGTGTGTCTGGTCAGGATTTATCCTTGCCCTTGGCGATAGCACAGTTTTTTTTCTGTGGGTGAAGAAGCAGCGAATAGATTATTAGATGAGAAAAAATAGCGTTTGAGAAATTTCTAAAAAACTTCGTGATTTTCTCACAAAGTTGTTTCTTGGAACTCTCAGGAGGAACGCATATTTAGATGCTCTTGAAGAAATACTTTTCAACATAGTGGTCTGGTTTTCATGAAATCTACAAAATTATTTTATTAGGTTACAAATATAGAAATATCACTTGCCTATGTTGCAGCTTGTGTAAGCTAGAACTGAGTGGAAAATGGGTAGATAGGTTTCTTTCCTTTCCAGTCTAACTGACTGCAATGTTGTAACACAAGCTGAAGTGATGTGAATCAAATTTCACAATTTTCATTTTTAACGAATTTTCGGAGAGGAAGGATATTGCGGATGCGGTCTTGCTCAAGAATTTTACAGGCGGTTATCAAATTCGGCCTTTTCAGTCGCACCGCAAGAAATTTTCATAACACTCTATGACCTAAATGATGCTTTCCTTACGCGTAAAGAATACATTTTGTGTGTCCGCACAGCCTGGCACTGAAAATTGAGATATAGCTTTGACTCTGATGTTCGGTATTTTCTTGGCTGTAGAGCCCTGATCTCGCAGAAAAATGCAGTAATAAGTTGTAAATCCACATTCTTCAAACTTTTCATCCACTTTGTACATTTGAAGGTTAATCGCGCAGACAAACAATATAATGTCAATATATTGGGATGATGCAGAAATAATGCGTGTTTTCCTAGCCCTAGCCTCAAGACCACTTTTTTCCATCAAAGTTCCATTTTTGGAAGCGAGCATACCATCAAGCTCTTTTCATGGTCAGTCTATAATGGTAACAACATTTTTCTAACCTCATTCATTAATATTTACAAAGCTTCACAAAACCGCGCTCAAAACCAGAATAGCGTTGCATTTCCATGTCTGGCCAAAATTTAAGCGCAAATGGAGGCTTTTTTTTTCAAAAGTTCAGCTGCTGTATGTAATAGAAATTATCTACATTATGCACATTTTACTATTTTCTTAAAAATTACCTAGACTGGGATATCGGCGCCTCAGGGGTAGTAGTGGTAATTCTCAAGCCCACAAATTTTTTTTGAAGAAGGCAATAGCCAAAGCCTTGCTCATTTCTGTAAGCGTAAGGGTAGGCCTCTTGTTGACAGTTTTTGCAAAAAAGTTTAGCTCTTTAATCCGCAAAAAAAAATCGAAGAACTTCATATTTTGGGACTTTGAGGCCTACGAAAAAATGTTGAAAGAAAGCTGACAATATTGGATTTCCACTTTTTTTCGCAAATCTTCTTTGTTTGATTCTCTTCCAGTTTCTTTCGTACCACTGACTTGCGGCTACAACATAGACTGCTTAGCATTTATACTAACAATTTTTGAAGGGATTCATGATCAGTTAAAACAAAATTTCAGAAAAAAAAAGTTTTTTGCTTATCGATTCATATTTTTCCGGTGTGGTGTGAGTAAATCCGTTTGTGGTATGAGTAAAGGTGGCTGTGTGCTATATTGCTAAAGTTTTGCTGCCTCTGATGGTTTTATCGCATCAAGAATTTCAGATTTTTGAAAATTTATAGCATGTCAAAGTGAGAACTCGCAAAAAGCGCATTACTTTTGTTCCAACCTGATAGATTCTTACAATGTCTTGGAACAGAATGTCAATTCAGAATGTCAGAATTCACAAAGACAATGAACTTTAATCACTAAGAACCAGGGCTCGGCACGAGGTGGCTAGTTCAAAATGCAAAAAACGAAGTCCCCCTTGACTTTTACGAATTTTTACGAAGTCCCCTTTGACCCTAGACCGGGTCGGCACGAGCTGGCGTCCCGAAATTGCAAAAAATGAAGTTTCATTGTCTTCAATGAAATTACGACATCCGCCACGAGATATTCGAAGAGTAAATACATGAAAAGGAACGGAACAAAGCCACAACAGAAAGAAAAAACGAAAAAGAATCATCGAACACACGCGATGATATTCATATTCTCTGGATTGGCGGCGTGATGTATCCATCGTGCAGCATTACGCGCCTAGAGCAGCCTTTCCGCCGCCATTCAAAATTTTCAAGGGGCTATAACTAAGCGGGGAGAGGGGGGTTTGAGGCGGTTTAGGAACCAGTTTGTAGGGTTTGGGAGGTAGATGAAAATTATGTAAAGAAAGTAGAAAAATTATGTGCGTGAGGAAAAATTTATGACTTTTTCTTTCCTAAGCCACCTCAGGTGGCTATCCAGGTGGCTTGAAAGCCACCTAACTCCGAAAAAAGTTGAGCACGCATTTAGTTCACATAATTTTTTCATAATTTTTCATACTTAGTCCTAACTCCCCATTGCCCATCTACACACCTATTTTGGTGTCATTTCATCTTCAATTCGCTGTAAACAAACCCTTTGTTTATTTGCTGGCGGCATGCCGGCAGCGTGCCGACCGCAAATCGAAAGACAACGTTATGTTCTTCCGCAAAAACGATATCCCCTTTGCTTTTTCCCTAAAAACGATATCCAGCTTGCTTGTCAAGCCACCTGTGCCGTGTCCTGCTAAGAACTGCTCATGGATGTTTTTTGCGTAAATATCAGAATCACAGAGTACCACAAAAATGAGAAGGTCTTGAAATTGGATAAGAAATCCGAGAATGTCAAATCTATCTCGGAAATTCTATTATAAAACATCCCATAAAATTTTCAAGAAATAGGATAACTCTTGTTGACAATCGTTTAATTGCTCCGAATTTGTCATTATTCGGATCTCTTGGGAGTGGTAGGCGCTCCCACTGTTGATAGTCGTATACGATATCGTATACGATAGTATACGTCCTTCTGATTCTTATTTTATTGTGATTCAAGGTTTCTTATGGGGAGATGCAGAACGTCTAATTCTCCCGACGGATACCGCAGGAAGGCGATGTGGAGGATCTCGGGGCATATCTTATAATCTCACGTTGGTTCTTTAAAAAATTACAAAAGTAAAAAAAACGGTACATTTTTTTTTCAGAAATCGGCCATATTTGTATTATTTTGACATGACTAAATGTATATCGTACACTACCGCTTTGGGAGGCTGTCAAACACCTCAAGTGGGTCGATTTAATTCAGTTTAAAGCTCTCGGATCTTATAATTGATGTTCAGATGTGTGTAGCTGCCTGTCCTACAAAGTATTTCTCATATCTTCAACTTCAGAGTCCTACCATTAGTGGAGAAGATTTTCGACAAACTGTAACATTCTGATTTTTCATTTAGCTTCTTATTTTTGCTGATGTTTATTTAGGTAATGTCATCAGTATATTGTCTTGACGAAGTTAATCGCAGTACAATAACATCATTTGCGATTTTACGAAGCTATGTGCAGCAACAGAAGTGCGCATCATACACGGTAAAATCAGCCCCTGGTGAGTAAATTTATAGTTTGAGTCTGTCACTTTTCTGGATAGTTATAAAAGCTTTCATCAGATGGAACAAGGTTCGCTTTCTGGTATAAGAGCAACATCACCAGCCTTCAAATAAAAAACAATTTTATACCAACCTTGCTAGAAACAACTTCTCCTTTCTTTCTTTCTTTCTGCCTTTCGTCTATTTTTTTTGATTTTTTGAGTCCGGTCACTACTTGCCGACGGTTTGATGGTTCGACCGCTATAAGCACGCGCAATTAATCCCAAAAAATGTTCTTATGAGCTCAAAAAAT